ATGAATTTAACAGTGAACTCAGGAGGGTAATCACCGTTCAGATCAGAAATGGATACTCCAGGCCTCTGCTGAAAGCTGCTCGTACCTCCTTCCTTCACCACCCCCAGAGACATCTGGCTCTATCTCTTCTTTAATTTTATATGTAAATGGATCAGAGTTTGCATTCTTTGTTTTGCTTTGTTTTTTGGTGCTGGGGATTGAACTCGGGTCCTTGCACTTGCAAGGCAGGCGGCGGAGCCATTAAGTTAAATCCCCAGCCCTAGAGTTTGCATTCTTTAGTGTTGAGCATTTTGCTCAAATTGTCTTTTCCCCCCAGCTTTTTTGAGGTATAATTAATGAATACAAACTCTCTACATTACAGTGTATGTGATGTTTTGCTTGTCTTTTGCAGGGGGCAATGAAGATTAAAGTCAGAGCCTTCACATTGGCCTATATCTCTACATCATCATCATCATCATTATTATTATTATTTTAATTTTGAGACAGAGTCTCACTAAGTCTCTAAGTTGCCCGAACTGGGCTTGAACTTGCTGTCCTCCTGCTCAGCCTCCCACACTTTTCCCTTTTTATAATAGCTTTATTGAGATGTAATTCATATTCTGCACAATTCACTCACTAAAAGTATGCAGATCAGTGCTTTTCAATATGTACAGGGTTTCACAGCCATTGCTTCAGTCAGTTTTAGAACATTTTCCTCACCACCCTCTTGCCAAAAAAATTCACAGTTCATTCCCCAAACCAAAGCCCTCTCCCCATTCTATCTCAGCCTTAGACAACCACTGATTTCCTTTTGCTCTAGATTTGCTCATTCTGGATGTTTCATACACATGGAATCATACCCTGCGAGGCCTTTTGCAACTGGATCCTTCTACTTCACATGTTTTCAGGGATTCAGTCACATAGGAACATGTATCAGTACACCATTCCTTTTATAGAAAAATAATATTCCATTATGTCTTTGATTTTTAATGCAGAAAAACATCCTTGTGGATTACGGGCTCCGAAGAATCACATTCCTGATTGCCCAAGAGGTCAGTCCAGTTCCCAGTTCATCTGTTGTGTGGGTCTTTCCTGTTCTCCACCCGCCCGGGACATTTCTTCGACACATAACATATAGGTTGGGATAGAGGTGATCAGTTGAAAAGAACCTTTTCAAATGGATTCATTCTAGGAGAAGACTAAGTTAATGTCAGGTTGGTGGCCTGACCAGTCACTAGAGGATGCCTGGTCACCTGATGAGGGGACAGAATAATATACAAAGAATGAGAAATAAAGAATAACAAATGATCGCTTCTTGCTTGGGGAGCCAGGAGTTGATATTTAGCTCTCTCCTGGCTAAAGACAACCTGGTCTTAGCTCTGTCCTGGCTAAGCCCACAAGCTCTGGATTAGTCAGTCTTTGTGATTATATAGCATAGCAAGGCGGCATGAAGGCAGATATGGGGAGTAGGAGAACTATTGCACTTAATGAGGCAGGCTTGGAAAAAGGGAGTAAAGTGTGTATACTTGTGAAGGACGGGTCACAGTTAACAAGCCGCTGTGCTATCTTGAAGTTCCTAGCTAACAAATAACCTGCATTATCTTTAGCTAACGTTTGCTCTTGGAGAACGGTTGCAGAGCTGTAATTCCTCCACTGCAATGTTTCCTAGCTATAGAGATATCACAGCCTCATCGATCTTTGAGACTCAGTTGTCATAGGGAAGTCTGTCTCCGTACACCAGCCAAAAGTTCAACTAGCAATTTACACTTAAGCCTTGGCGAGACTCATAATCTTAATCAATAGCCGAATTTAAAATCCAATCAGTAATATCTACATAATATCCTGCTGCTCAATGCAGTTGCAAGCTGGTCTCCTGCAAGTTATCATTAACACTCACAAAATAAAAATAGAAATGTTTCAATGAGTCTTGCTTGATTTAACCATCTTTTGTATGGGTTCCTTTTTTACAGAAAGAATTTCCCAAGTTTTTCACATTCAGAGCAAGGGATGAGGTATGACCAAAAGCAATGGTACTGTTCTCTCTCCCTGGTATTTTGGGTATTGACAGGGCACATGGCCATAGTCCTTAAGGCGTGCTCCTTTTCTAGAACACAGTGACTGATGTGTAGACTCCAGCTGTCCCCTAGAATCAGACTTCTATGACATCCCATGTTTCCTGCACAAACCCTGAGGATCCTGTCCTGAGGATCCTGCCATCGCTGCAGGTTTCCCTCTCGGATAATTTTTATACCTGCTCGTGGACTCAGTAAGGCAGTTTTACCAGCCCCCCCCCCTTATATTCTTTTAGACCAGTGGTTGGCAAACTATGACTTGTAGACCAGATACCCGTTTTAGAAATAAAGTTTTATTGGAACACAGCCAAATCCATTTGATTACGTGTTGTCTACCGTGGCTACTTCCTACCAAAGTAGCAGAATAAAGTCTTTGATCAAGGCTGTTTGGTTCATCCACCAAAAACATTTGTGTCTGGCCTTTTAGGAAAAAGTTTAGTGATCCCTGTTGTAGCACAGGTGGACTCATTACCAGAACAGATTCAAGACTCCACCATGTTCAGAATTTATGTTTGGATTTTCTATCTGAGACCCACCTTTTTATATGTTCATTTTGTCTCGGTTACCTCCAATACTGTCAGTTGCATCCTCTTGGGAACCACTTTCAACCAAGGACCAGGGGTTAGGACATCCGGGGAAAGACTGTGCTGTGACATGAGAATAGCTTCATGTCACTGGCAGGCCCGGGGCTGGCCGGGCGGACCCATTAGCTAAGATGTTCCCCAGCACTCCATTCTTGGATGCCCATGGCTGTCCTGAGATCCTAGCAAAACCCCAAATCTCTTGAGTCTGGGGGTTACTCACAGTTAGGCATCGAGCACTGTAGAAGCTGCAGACGTAGTGCACGATGCAGGCATGGGGGTGCAGTGCCAGGCTCTGGGGGTACATTTCTGTGTGTCTGTCTGTCTGTCCTCCCTCTGCCCGGCCCACAGTTTGCAGAAGATCGCATTTACCGTCACTTGGAGCCTGCCCTGGCCTTCCAGCTGGAGCTCAGCCGGATGCGCAACTTTGATCTGACTGCTGTGCCCTGTGCCAACCACAAGATGCACCTTTACCTGGGCGCCGCCAAGGTCAACGAGGGGGTAGAAGTGACGGACCACAGGTTCTTCATCCGTGCCATCATCAGGCACTCAGACCTGATTACAAAGGTAAACTATCCCAGGATACTTTTTTTTTTCTAGTCCCCTATTAATGGATATTAAACTAATCTCAGTGTTTTGCTAAGTCAGTCAATGAGATGCTTTAATAGACTTTGATATCATTTAGCTGTGATGAGGCCAAAGATCAGGAGGCAATTTCTATTGAAAAGCTAGTTTGTGAGAGTTCCGAGAAAGGTCTCCATACACCATGAGAGTGCACAGTGGGCACTGGGGTTGGACAGGAGACAGAAGAGTGAGGAGAGCAGGAACCCTTACTGCGGCTTCCAAAGGAAGGGATGGCAAGGCAGGGTGGGCAGCTGTAGGCCTGGATGGTTTAAACAGTTGCAGTAACCCTGAGCGTAGGGCTGTGCCTTGTTGTCTGGAACCTGGCCCTAGGCTGATGAGGGTGAGGACAGTGGCCGAGGGTGGGAAAGGGGTGAAGGAGGGAGTGAGGTGGAGGCACTGAGTTGGTTGTGGGGGACAAGAATGCTCCTGGGAGAGCTGTTCTCCATGTCTAGGAACCGGCAGCCCAGATGTCAAAGTGTCAGAAAACAGAAATCAAAAGGCCTGGTGAATCCACCTTTGCAGCCCGGTGTCTCTTCAGCCCTCGATCAGGACACACGTGGAGGAGGGGAGTTTTGCCTTTCAGAGGCTGACTTTCCACCCAGCTAGAGTAGACCTGGGGCCCTGGCCCGAAACACTGCAACCTTGCCCTTTGACAGGAAGCCTCCTTCGAGTACCTGCAGAATGAGGGTGAGCGGCTGCTCCTGGAGGCCATGGACGAGCTGGAGGTGGCCTTCAACAACACAAACATGCGCACCGACTGCAACCACATCTTCCTCAACTTCGTGCCCACCGTCATCATGGACCCCTCCAAGGTTTCACCTCCTGGGGGCTCTCACCGGGCTCTGGGTTCAGCCTCCTGCTTTACACCATATTCACACCATGCTACCTTAGAGCATTGTCTCCTGGCCCTCAACACCTGAGGTCCATGATAATTCCATGTGCAGTGGAGGCATGGTCGCTGCAGGATGGGAAGGAGCCTTCCACCATGCAGTTCCACAGCTGTGTCTTAGCTGTACCATGTGTGGGCTTGCCGCACTGTAAGGGCGACACGCATGCTCAGAATGTCTTGAAAAGCAGGGCTTTGTCCTCTCCCTGGTTCCAGGTACTGCTGGGGACTGCATATGGGTCGGAGGAGGGGACCACAGATCTGGCTGAGCTCTTTGCTGGCCACTTCTGCAGGGGCAGGCAGGTGTCTATGGTGGTGATTCTGGAGTGAGAGCGGCTAGAGTGAGCCAGCTTGGCTCCCTTGGGTACAGTGGGCCCAGGTGGCTTCACTGGTTCACAGAGTTCCAGGAAAAAGTCTTGAATAGGCTTGAGAGGAAAAACAAAATGGGCCAGTGTGGGAGCACCAACTCTGCCACTTGTCAGCCTCAGTCTCTTTATCTGTCGATGGGAGATAAAGAAAGTACCTGCCTCAGGCAGGGAATGTATCTCCATGGAAGAGCACTTTCCTAGCATGTGTGAGGCCTGGGGTTCAATCCCCAGCACTACAAAGAAAGAAAAATCCACCTCGCTCCATAATTAAGAGGATGAAATAAGGTAATGGGTTTCAAATATTTTGCAAGATGCCTTTGATCATCATTTGCTGGTAGTCTGTGTTGGATGCATGCAGGATGTCTGTCATTTTGCACTGAATACAGCTCACTACCTCCTTGTTATCTGCACTATTGCCAGTATGTGTGGGCGCTGAAATGAATTATTGTGTTTGGGGGCAGATCGAGGAGTCTGTGCGCTCCATGGTTATGCGCTATGGTAGCCGGTTGTGGAAACTCCGCGTGCTGCAGGCCGAGGTCAAGATCAATATACGGACAGCCACCACCGACAGTGCTGTACCCATCCGCCTGTTTATCACCAATGAGTCGGGCTACTACCTGGATATCAGCCTCTACAAAGAAGTGACTGACCCCAGATCTGGAAACGTAAGGCAGAGCTGGGCTCCAGAGGTTATAACTCAGGCAGGCTGCTCACCATAGCAAGATGCAGGTTACATCAACCTTCTGTGACCAACTTGCCTTGCCCAGGTGGACTGTGGCCGTCTATTTGTCTCTGAACAAATAGGTCTGGGCTGTGATGAACTTCAAGCTCTGGTTTCTGGCTATTCAGCCTCCAGAGTTTAATTCATCCTGCAGCCACATTTGAATTGAGGCATGGAGTACCCGGGGTGGGGTTGGGTTGGGATTCTGATGTGACCCTCAGATGGTTCACTCAGGGAAACCAACGGCAACCGCATTTGTAAAGTGAATTGAGCCTTTTGTTTTTTGGTGCTGGGGATCGAACTTGGGACCTTGTGCTTGTGAGGCAGGTGACGACCCCACTGAGCTAAATCCCTGGCCCTGAGCCTTCTTTTTATTGCCATTATTTTATATGTGAGTGTAAACACGTGGGTGTGTATGCATATACACACATTTTTATTGGGAAGTAATTAGACTCAAGACACTTAAGTTGCAAAAAACAGTACATAAAAAAAATTAGGGCAGAGTTCTCATGTGCACTCCATCCAATTTTTTCTGGTGATGCATTGCCGAGCCATTGTGTGCTACCCAAACAGGCAGCTGACACTGGTGCAGTTGTGTTCACTTAAATGTAGTCCTCGCTGAGCATTTGGCTATTTCCGTACACACTTGGGGGTGTATGCTTGTGTTACTGTGATGGTGCCACGTTTGGAGCTCTGTCTCCACGTTTCCCACTGCCGTTCTTGTTCTGGTGGGCTGCAGTGGTGGTGAACCTCAGGGGTCCCAGGCACTTAGTTTGTCATGGGATGCATCAGGCCAATGTGTTTCCATTGCAGACTGGGGGGAAATATACTGGGGAGAAGTGTCGCTCTCTCGGATCTGCCTCCCTCTCTATGTTTCTTTCTTTCTGCTCCAGATCATGTTTCATTCCTTCGGGGACAAGCAAGGAAGCCTGCATGGGATGCTGATCAACATGCCCTATGTCACCAAGGATCTGCTCCAGGCTAAGCGATTTCAGGCACAATCCCTGGGCACCACCTATGTGTACGACTTCCCGGAAATGTTCAGGCAGGCAAGTCCTGTGGCCCAGACGCAGCACCACCCCGGGTCCTCTCCCCCGCCTGCCCTTCCTGTCCTTAGTCATGCTTCTGAGATATTATCTAAAAAGGTCTACGTGAAGAGGCTGAAAGTAATATTGAGAAGGACTTTGTAGTATTTTTGCTCAAAATAAAACTAATTTTATCCCTGTGATAAAAGTGATATGATATAGAAATACTGGAAAATAAAGACAAGAAAGATGAGAAGAAAGTAACTCAGAGTTCCAGGTCCTATGACAAGTTAATGAACAGATTAATGTTTTCTTCTGGTATTTTTAGTGATCACTAATTAACTGCCACTTAGCAGGACCCATTCTAAGGCTAAATGGACCATGAGGAAAAGGATGGCCTACTGCTATTGGACAGTTTGTAGTTTACTCTTAGAAAATGTTTTTTGGGGCCAGGCATGGTGACATGCACCTATCATCCCAGCTATTAGAGAGGCTGAAGAGGGAGGATCACTTGAGCCCAAGAGTTCCTATCATCCCAGCTATTAGAGAGGCTGAAGAGGGAGGATCACTTGAGCCCAAGAGTTCAGGGCCAGACTGGGTAACATAGTGAGTTCCCCATTTCAGAAGAAAGAAAGAAAGAAAGAGAAAGAAAGAAAGAAAGAAAGAAAGAAAGAAAGAAAGAAAGAAAGAAAGAAAGAAAGAAAGAAAGAAAGAGGAAATAATGGTTTGTTGTATTTTTCTCTGATTATTAACGTACCCATGGGGAAATTTAGAAAAGTAGAAACAAAGAAATAAAATTTGTGATACATAGATGTGATCTACTCATGAGTATGCTTACAATAATACTTTAGTGTGTTTCTTTCAAATATTTTTTCTGTGCCTTTCTTTCTTTCTTTCTTTCTTTATTTATTTATTTATTTTTGGTGTTTTGAGACAGGTTTCACTATGTAGTTGAGACTGACCTGGAACTCACTATGTAGCCCAGGCTGATTTCAAACTCACAGTGATCCTCCTGTCTCAGCCTCCCCAGTGCTGTGATTACAGGCATGTGCCGCCATACCTGGCTTGTGCCTTTATTTTTTAAATAGAAGGGTCTTTAAAGGAGACTGAACCCACAGCTAATGGTGTTATGGACGTCTCTTCACATCCCCTCTGTTCCTCTAAATGAACCTCAGGAATCTGAGGTCTGGTCACCGTAGGAGGGAGTGTTCTACTTCTGCCTGTGCATCGGCAGAGGAGACAAAAATAGAAGGCAGAGCTGCTCTTTAGAGTCATCCAGACTTGGGCCTGAATCCTGGAGAACTCATTTGCTTCCTGCTGTCCCTGGGCAGTTTTCTTTCCCACCATGGGCCTCAGTTTCCTCCTCTGTAAAACGAGGACATAGACAACCTTTGTCATAAGGGTGTTGGAGAAATATATGCAAGGTATTCAGTAGGTGGATAATAAATAGAAACTTTTATGATTACAATGTCATTGTCTATATTCTTTTCCCTTGGGCCTTAGAGGTCATAAAAGAAAGTGTGTGACTAAATCAGGAGCAAGTCCATCCTTTCTTTTAGATAAAGTAACAGAGGATACTATGTGTATACTACGTGTATGCATTTGAACTTGGATGAGAGGCAAACTTAGATTTAATGGAACATTTCCAAGGAAATACATCACATCAAAACTAAGTCAAGAAGAACTAGAAATTCTAACCAGAATACATTATAAGCATTAAATAAATTAATAGTTTTAAAAAATCTATTCACCAGAATTTAAGACCCAGGTGGTTTTAAAACAACTTCTGTTCAATTTTTAAGTGACATGTCTGTAATTCCAGGCACTCAGGAGGGTGAGGTGAGAGGAGGGCAAGCTTGAGGCCACCTGGGCAAGTTAGCAAGACTCTGTTTCCAAATAAATGGGAGGGGGTTGGTAGCTGGGCATGTAGCCTAGTGTTACAGGGCTTGCTTAGCATACGCGAGACTGTCGTTTCAATCCCAGTACCACAAAATAGATAAAAATTAAATCAAAATTAAAAATACTTTAAAGAGCAGGGAATATAGTTCAATGCTCCCTGGGTTCAATCCCTAGTACTAGGAAAAGGGAGAGAAGGGGGTAAGTGTATATAAATTATTCTTTGTATATAAATTATTCTTAGAGTAGAAAAAAATGAATGCTTTTTAACTAATTTTATCAAGTTATTATCTTAACACTACTCCCAGGTAAAGACTTTAGGAAAAGGGAAATTTTCTGTTTAGTTTATGAATATAGACATAAAAATAATAAAATATTAGCAAATAACATTTAATAATGATTTTTTTAAAAAGTTTAGGCCAGTAGGGCTTATCCTATGCCTTGATCAGATATTAGGACATTTATTAGGTTAAGAAAATTTTTCTTGGGCAAGGGATTTAGCTCAGTCATGTCACCGCCTGCCTCACAAGTGCAAGGTCCCAAGTTCAATCCCAGTACCGAAAAAAGGAAAAGAAAATTTTTCTCACCAGGGATTTAGCTCAGCAGCACCATGCCTGTCTTGCAGGTGCAAGGACCTGAGTTCAATCCCTGGTAAAAAAAAAAAAAAAGAAAAAAAAGAAAAGAAAAAAAAAAAGAAAGAAAGAATGAAACTCTGCCAAGAAAAATTTTCTCAGTAGGTACAAAAAAAGTGTTTAACAAAACAGCATTTTATTATTTATTAATAATAAAAGCATTAAATTAGGAATAGAAAGAAACTATGTCTTGATAAAACATAATAGCCTAAAATTAATATCACTTATGATGAAATGCTGGAAGAATTCTTTAAAGAAATGTTTAAGACTGGGGATTTAGCTCAGTGGTACTGCTGCCTGCCTCGAAAGCACAAGGTCTAGAGTTTGATCCCCAGTATAAAAAAAAAAAAGAAAAAGAAAGAAAGAAGGAAAGAAAGATTTAAGATAGAAATATCCCTTATCACCACTTCTTTTCCACATTCTTTACCCAGATTCCACATTCTTAGCTCATGATAGGAAAGAAAAGTTATACAAACTGGAAAGAAAAATGGTGGGTTTTATGAAGATATATAAGAAATCCAAGAGAATCCATAGAACCAGTTAGAGATGCAACAAGGTTGGTAGACACCAAATCAATATACAAAAAAAATTCCATTCCCATATACCATCAGTAATTATACAATGTACTTGGGAAAAATACCATTCATAACATCAAGTTGACCTAGGAATAAGTCAAACAAAAAACACAGAAGAGGAATTTCCTTTATGGAGGAAATTATAAAGCTGTAACAAAATACTGTAAGCCTAAATAAGTGGAGAGATGTACCATGTTCATGGATCATGGTACGTTCCAAATTGCGAAGATGTTACTTCTGTCCAAATTAGTAAGTTCAATATGATTTCAGAGGAGTGTTTTTTTTGTTTTCAGTTTTGGGGTGTGTGTGTATGTGAAACATGAAAAGCTGATCCTAAAATTTTTACAGAAAAGCAAAAACTTGTGAATAGCCAAAACAGTTTTAAAAAATCAGAGAACTCATTTTAGCAGACGTTATAACTTATTTTAAGCAATAATAATTGAGACAATGTTGAATTACTGTGATAGATTTAGGCAAATAGATCAGTAGGACAGAAAGGAGCCTAGAATTGGAATCACCCATCAGAGAAGCAGAGGTATGCTTGTGAGTCAGGGAATGAACATCAATAAAAGGTGCAGAGACATTGCTCCAAGTGAGAAAAAGCAAATTTAGATTTCTACCTCATCTAGTAAATAAAAATAAATTTCAAGAGGATCAAAGCTAAAAAAGTTAAAAATATTAACTATACAGGAAAAGATTTTTAAGTTTGAATGCATTAAAACTAAAAGTATTTGTGTAGAAAAGATAATCCCCTGGTTGGGAAAATATATTTTAGTGTTTATCACCATCAAAGAATCAGAGGCAAAAGAAAAAAAAAAATCAGAGGCAGATGATCTATAGAATGCTCATGAATCAGTTAGATGAGATCAGGTACATTTAGAGTCATAAATCAATTAGAGTAAGAAAATATTTCCCTCTGATGACCTCAAATTTTCTCTCTTTCCTTCCCCCTCCCAGGCTCTCTTTAAACTGTGGGGCCCCCCAGACAAGTTTCCCAAAGACATCCTGACATACACTGAGTTAGTGCTGGACTCCCAGGACCAGTTGGTGGAGATGAACCGACTTCCTGGCGGCAATGAGGTATGCGCTCAGCTCTGCCTGCCTTGGTGTAGCCTGCCTTTGTGAGATGTTTCTGGTGAAGGACCAAACTCTTTTCCTCGGATCCCTTTCTCCCTGACAGGTGGGCATGGTGGCCTTCAAAATGATGCTTAAGACTCCAGAGTATCCAGAAGGGCGGGACGTGATCGTCATCAGCAATGACATAACCTTCCGGATTGGGTCCTTTGGCATACGGGAGGACATGCTGTACCAGCGGGCATCAGAGCTGGCCCGGGCAAGGGGCATCCCCAAAATCTACCTGGCAGCCAACAGCGGGGCCCGAATTGGCCTGGCAGATGAAATCAAACCCATGTTCCAGGTGGCCTGGGTGGATCCAGAGGACCCGCACAAAGTACGTTGTGGAACTGGGGTGGCAGTGCCATGCTGCCTGGCTAGTATAGGTTGGGATCCCAAATCCTAAAGCCCAAAATGGGAAATGCTGCAAAATCTCAGGATTTTTGAGTGCCAACATGATGCTCCATGTGGACAGTTCCACACCTGACTTTGCATGATGAATCTGCAAGGGATAGTCATTCTTTCCAGCCATTGCGCATGTCCGCAAGACTGAGATGCTGCTTTTCCACCAATGAGACTTTTGTTTGTTCGCAGTACTGGGATCAAAGCTAGGGCTTGGTACATGCTAGGCAACTGCTCTTCACTGAACTACATTGCCTGTCCTCTCTAATTATATTTTGAACTAGGGATTCACTCAGTGGCCCAGACTGACCTTGAACTTGGAATCCTCCTGCCTCAGCTTCCCAAGTAGCTGTAATTGCAGGCGTGCACCACTGTACCTGGCCCAGTATTTATTTTGGAGAGCAGCAAAGATTCTTTTCTTAAACAAGTAGAACATTTCTAATTCGGAAATCTAAAATCCAGAATGTTCCAAAATGTGGAACTGTTAAGCACTGACTTGACCACCCAAGTAGAAAAGTTCACATATCACTTTGTGTGACAGGTCTCACTGAAGACACGCAGTTACTAAAACATGGTTAAAATTGCCTTCAGCCTGTGTATATATACATAGGTACATATGAAACAGAAATGAATTTCGTGTTTAGATTTGGGTGCCATGCCAAAGATGTCTCATGCTGTACATGCAAATTCAAGGTGTGCCTGAAATATACTGTCAAAGGTTAAAATTTTTAAATGTATTACAGTAAAAGATATATTGCCATTCATCCCCCTCAGAATACTACCCGCCACTTTGAGCACATATATCCCGTCATTGTTGTCGCTTCATGGAACAGTTCTGGAGGTCTTCTTTTGTGAGTGTCTTTATGAGGTGTAATAAAAAAAAAGCCGAGGGTGAATGGTTCTGTCATGTGTCACCCAACAGAAGGGCAGGCTTATGAAAACACAGTGGGGTGTCCTCATCCACCTCATTCACTGGATCTGGCACCATAGGACCTCTGGCTTTCTCCCAAGTCAAAATGGCCATGAAGGGTGAATGTTTTCAAGAAAGGCAGAAAGTGCAACTAAAGACCCTTGTGAAAGAGGACTTACACAACGGCTTCAGAGAGCCGCAAGAAGGATGGGGTAAATGTGCTCAGAGTTGGGGAGTATTTTGAGGAGGATTGACGGCAATGTGTCTTTTACTATCATCATTTTAAAACAATTAATATTCATTGTATTTTTCAATCATACCTCAAATTCCAAAATTACCTCAAATTTCAGAAAATATCTGAAGTTCAAATCACTTGGTCCCAACCACTTTGGATAGGGATATTCAACCTGTGTGTAGACGTACATATGCACGGCATGTAAACAGTATATCTTTCATATTAAAAATTTAGGGGGGCTGCTAGCAATGAGGAAAAAAAATCTCAGAATGCTCTTTAGGGGAAGGATGATGAAAAGATTGAGGAATTCTGAAGCAGAGAGACCAGGAAGAGCATGTGATTGTGTTGTAAGGATGAGGAAAGGCGCTGAGCTCAGGACAGACCTCTGCAGCTGTACTGGAACAGTGTTGACAGTGGGATGTTAACGTGGTATGGACAAGTCATTAACATCCACCCTACAGTGCTGACATTTTAAAAAAAAGACAGTGGCTGTCCAGTGTATGGAACTACGTTCAGAGATTCACTGAAGTGTATTTCTTAAGGGATTTAAATACCTGTACCTGACGCCGCAAGACTACACCAGAATCAGCTCCCTGAACACTGTCCACTGCAAACACATTGAAGAGGGAGGAGAATCCAGGTAAACGACTTCTCAGGTGGCGCCTTGATTGTGTCTCTCGTTAATGGGGACTCTGGTTTTTTTGTTGTTGCTTTTTGGGGTTTTTTTGCCACCAGGCCTGTGGTGGGTGGTGTTTATACAGTAGTGAAACAGGAAACTGTGAGGAACCAGGCAGACCACTCTTACAGGAGCAGAGAGTGGCTTTTCATGCTGTCGGCTCAGCAAGTGACTCCAGTGAGTCTTGAGAGCTTCAGATAGAAGCCTGCAGTTCATTATACACCTGTTTTCACGTCTATGAATGAAGCCTAGTTCCCTTGGCCTTTCCCTGGGAATGTAGCAAGCAGGATTTACACAAAGCAGAGCAGCGGAGTGGGGGAAAAGCAAAGAGTTCCGGCAGGACTTTCTGAGTCTGTTATGCTCCTGTGGTGACGGATTACAGAAGTTGTCGCAGCTACTCAGGTGCATTCTACAAAGAGCAGAGTTACCTAGTTGACCTATAGTTGCCTAATAACATAGTTAACCCATAGTTGCCCAATTCCATATGGAGCGGTGGTCCCTTCTCTCCAAAGGATCCCTAAGCTTCATTTTATTTATTGGGGGGAGGGCAAGTACTGGGGATGGAACCATGGCTTCATGCGTGCTAGGCAAGAGCTCAACTGCTGAGCTACATTCCTAGCCCTTTTAGTTTTAGTTTTATCTTGAGACCGGGTCTCATTAAGTCACAAACTTGCCTAGGCTGGCCTTGAAGTTATTCCTTCTGCCTCAGCCTCTCGAGTAGCTGGGATCACAGGTGTGCACAACTACATGTCAACTTCCATTTGGGGCACTGGTGACAAACATTCGGGATATTTTCCAGGGTGAACCAAACCCGATCATGCTAATAATAAGCACCCTTCTCTCACAATTAGTAGGGAAGTAGATTGGATTCTCCTGATGTCCTAGCAGCTATTGGCTCACTTTTTACAACCAAATTATTCAGACCGATGCAGCAGTCATTTGGCAATTTAGGAAGGTCAGAAGGAGGGGGACACAGGGCTCTGTTCTTTGGTGATGTCAAAGGCTCTGGAATGTTTTTGCCAGAGTCAGTTGCATTCTTCTTAGAGGGACTGACCCAATCAGAATTTTCCAGATGTGATTTTCTGGAGTGTTACTGATATATGGGGAAAACATTTTTTTCTTTTAATTTCCATTGTCAAATAAGTTTGGAAAACACCAGGTTAAATGAAATCTCATACGTGCCTTTCTTGCAGGCCTTCGCAGCGTCTTCTAACACATGAAAAGGACTTGTAAATTTTTAACAGGGATTCATTTGGACGCTGTTTCTCCTCCTTAATGCATCGTCCACGGGATCTTGATTGACCGAGTGATCATGAACTAAGTGGCTTCCCCTTGCGTACCTCATCTCTGTGGACAAATCCTAGTCTTGATTGTTCTGGCAGGAGTGACATTTCCCCAAGCCAGCCTCTGGATAGGTAGACATCTGTGGCTAAGAGAAGGGTGGCCGTGGGTGATGTTGTATTTGACCTTTGAGAAACTTGATCACCAATGGCAAATGAGGTCTTTGTTGCTCGCTTTTTTTTTCCTCTCAGTATTGGGGACTGAACTCAGGGCCTTTACACTGAGCTATATCCTCAACCCCTGTTTTTATTTTTTTATTTTGAGAAAAGTTTTCACTAAGTTGCTAGTTGCCCAGGCTGGACTCAAACTCTCCACCCTCCTGCCTCTGCCTCCCAGAGTGCTGTGATTACAGATGTGTGCCACCGAGTCTAGGTTTGGACCCTTGCTTCCATTTTTCCTCTGGCTGATTTATCCACTTCCGGTATTTTACCTTGTGCATCCCTCCTGCCCTGGGCCATGAGAAATGCGTCTGCCTTGATTTGTTGAGGCTGGAACTGGGACTTTAACCTGCGCTTGCTTCTTGGAGGTACGTCATCATAGACATCATTGGGAAAGAAGACGGCTTGGGCGTGGAGAATATAAAGGGTGCAGGCATGATTGCCAGGGAATCCTCCCTGGCTTACGAAGAGATCATCACCATCAGCATGGTGAGTCCCTTCACATTTTCTTTTCTTTTTAAATTTGCTATTATGAAAATTTAAAAGTCACAGAAGGGGAGAGAATTACTAATGAGCCCTGTGTGCCAATTACATAGCGCCACCAACTGTTAACACGCAACCTTTTCTGTTTCTCAGTCCCCCTGTTTTATGATATTTTAAAGCCACTCCTTGATCGGGTCTTTTTACCCGTTAGTTCTTTAGGTGGACCTTTAGTGATCCCCTCCTTTTTGTAGTACTGGGGATCGACTGAACCCAGGGGTTCTGTACCTCTAAGCTGCATCCCCAACCCTTTCTTTCGCTCTCCCTTTTAAAATTGAGACAAGGTCTCATTAAGTTGCTCATGCTGGCCTAGGACTTACATCCTCTTTGCCTCATCCTCCCAAGTAGCTGGGATTTTAAGTATGTACCAGTGTGCCCTGCCTCCCTCCCTTTTTTTTTTTTAATGTAACTGCAACTTTTTAATGTGCCCAAGAAAATCAACAGTTTTTTCTAATATGATCAGAAGCCAGTTTGGTTTCAGGATTAACAGTTATCTCACAACTTTCCTTTTATAGTTGGTTAGTTTGATTCGGGTCTAATCTCTTATTTATAGGTGCCAAGTGGAAGAACCTGTATCTGACTTGACTGGGATAGGTAACCCCCAGCCCACTCCCACGACCTTCCCAAAAATGTTTGTGTTTAATAGCAGCAGCAGCAGCAGCAGTACTCTAATGATGAACTGTCTTTCATGGCTTTAACTTTTTTTTTTGTTTTCTGAGACAGGGTCTCCCTGTGTAGTTGAGACTGACCTGGAAATCACTGTGTAGCCCAGGCTGGTCTCAAACTCACAGCGATCCTCCTGCCTCAGCCTCCCAAGTGCCGGGATTACAGGCGTGTGCCACCACACCCAGCTCATGGCTTTATCTTTACATGCACTGCTGCATCTTCATTTCCAGGATGGAAATTATCAGGCACAAGGGTCTGTTTTCAGCTTGTTTTCTACACACACGTGGCATACATGACTTTCAATTTTGAAATTGTTGAGGGCCCACCAGAATTTACAAGATAGTGCGGAGAACTCCCAGGGCCAGCCTCCCCCACGACAGCCTCTTACCTAAGCGAGACCAAAACCGGGAAGTTGAAGTCCCCACGGTACAGACCTCATTTGGATTTCACCAGTTTTCACATGCACTCCCAGACATGCTTTCCGGTGTATTAAAGGCTGTGATTTCTCTAAAGCGACTGATCTCTGAGGAGCTACACACAGTCATCTTAAGGGCCAGAACATTCAGCATCTGCTGTTTGTCTTCGCAGCCCTCTTATGTGTTTGCCACGATTTTTTTTAATAGAAAACTGTGTTGCTCAGCTTTCTGTCACTCTAACGGACACCTGAGGTAACCAGCTTATAAAGAACAGTTTATTTTGCTTTTGGGTTTGAAGGCTCCAGCCGTAATGCTTTGGGGTCTGTGGCGAGGCAGCACAGCATTGCAGGAGTGTACAGCGAAGCAAGCTAGCTCACGGTGGGAGTCCCAGGTCCTCCTCAAGGATGCACCCCCAGTGACCTAAGGACCTTCTACTAGTTCCCACCTCTTAAAGTCCCCCCCGCAATAGTGCCAAGCTGGGGACCAAGCTTGCAATACAGGGGCCTCTAGGGACCACTTAAGATCCAAATAATAGCAGAAGCGAAGTTCCAACCGGTGGCTTTTGCTCTGCCATCTGTCCCTAACTTAGGTTGCCATTGGCTGGGACTTTCCCTTCATGCCCAGTGGTATGGCCCTGGCACGGCTCCTCTGGAATTCAGAAAGTCCCGCGTCTCCACAGGTGACCTGCCGATCCCTGGGGATCGGGGCCTATCTGGTGAGGCTGGGCCAGCGGGTGATCCAGGTGGAAAACTCCCACATCATCCTCACAGGAACCCGAGCTCTGAACAAGGTGACTGGGATGGGGCCTATGGGGAGGGTTTGTGGGGTTGGGGGGTCCTTTAAGCATTGTCCACTGATGGGGGATTTTCCCAGTATGAAACCAGTTCCATTCCTGCTGAGGTAGAAGCTACTTTTCCCAATTTGCAGTTACCTGAGGTCCTTATGAGCCAAAATAAAATAAGTTTTAAGTTTGTTGAGTGGAATTAACTCTTTCACATTTTAAAAACGTTATACAAGTGGCATTAGACTTTGCAGAAAACTGGAAAGTTTCCCCCAGAGTAGTTTTTGCTGCTTCTGTAATTTTGGTGTCATCCTCTCTCCCATTCCATTTTTCCATGGTTAATTCACAGTGAATTCAGTAATCTATTTTTTTTCTTATTGTACTAAAACATCTGCCATGTTGCTATGAAGTTTCCATTTTTTATTTAATTTTTATTTGCTTATTTATTTCATGGTGCTGGGGATTGAAATCAGGACCTTTGCACTGGGCCACATCCCCAGCCCCCACTTTTTTTTTTACATTTTGAGACAAGATCTCATTAAGTCGCTGAATTTCCCAAACTGTGCTCAAACTTGCATTCCTCCTGCTCCAGCCTCCCAGAGTGCTGGGCCTATAGGTGCACAGCACGCCAGTCAGCTGAGTTCCCATTTTTAATGTCTGTTGGAAGCCCACTGAGGGTGAGAAGTCTGGTTCTTACACCAGCCGCAGCCTCACCTCTGGAGAACTTGTCAGACATGTGCATTGTCAGGCCCCGCTGTGGTCAGGCTGCATCAGAAGAACTTTCCAGATTGCCCAAGTTGTCAGCTGCTGCATCACTGGTTCTCAGCTTGGGCTGCATATTGGAAGTGCCTAGAAATTTTAAACCAGCGACACCTAAAGGTTCTCATGTGACCAGTCTGGGTGCAGCCCGGGTGGCAGGATTCTCGAAAGCTCCCATGTGATCCTGACATGCAGCCAAGATTGAGAACCACTGAGTGAGCTGATTGCCAATGTCGGAAGGGCCTCGAACAGGGCAGGATTTGCTAACCATGTTGTATTGAAGCAGGTCCTGGGAAGAGAGGTCTACACATCCAACAACCAGCTGGGCGGCGTACAGATCATGCATTACAACGGCATCGCCCATGTCACTGTGCCGGATGACTTTGAGGGGGTGTACACCATCCTGGAGTGGCTGTCCTATATGCCAAAGGTGCACTGTCCCCCCGCAGCTTAGAGCCCAGAAGACTCTGTTATCAAGTTCATTTGCTAAATGTGTCCTTGTCACCTCAGTGGGTGTGGGAGGGTGGGGGCTTGGGGCACCATAAATGCGGCCAGGATGGGTTTGACTCCTTCCTCCTTCCCTCTCTGACACCTGATTCTGGACTAGCCATTCTGCTTTTGGGGTGATCTGGATGCCATCCTTAAAAGAAAAATCCATCTGTCAATCCTGGCTAAAGGGTAAAATGAGTCAACCTTGGCCAATAGAGAACCTCAAGTTCCTGGTCTGTCTGAATTTGACTCCTGGCTTCCTCCTCAGTAACGATGTGATCCTGGGACAATCTCTTGATCTTTCTGAGCCTCATTTTCCTCATCTGTGAAATGTGGATAATAGTAGCACCAAGCTGCTGATGTTTTTGTGATGATCGAGTGAAATGATGCTTAGAGCTCTCCAGGGGATACTCCTGATTGCCCTGGTTAGTTCAGGTGGAGATTCTTTAACTAGACAGTAACAAGGCAGATGTTGGAGGCTCAGTTTCTTCACTGTCCAGTGTGGATAGTACTTGTCCTGCCTGCTTCATAGGGGTCCACTGTATAGTGTGTGGGTAAGAACGGGCATGGTCTGTGCTGAGTAACATTCTGTACAAATGAGTGAAGTTCTTAATCTTCATTATATATATTTCTGAAACGTTGGTTTCTAGCGTTCAGCCCATCCCAGTCCTGCTTGCTAACTACCCCAAGTTAAAACATTACAAAAGTCACTTCTTATTCCTGAATGCTCCTTTTCCCTATCTGCACGGCCCCTGTTACCACTATCTGTAGTCAGCCTTTCTTTTCTTTCCTTTCAAGATGTGTTTTATCTGCTCTTATAGAACAGTGGCAACTCTTTAAGTCTTTCTTTCACGTCCCACCTTCACTGAATGCGCCTCACCCCTGAGTGCACTCAGGACTTGAAAAACTAGAGTTCCAAAGAATCCACGGGGTAGCCTGTCTTTGTCTGGCATTTGCCAACCAGAACAGTGGCTTCCGAAGCTCTGTTAGGATATTGCTAACGTGAGACTTAAGACATAATGGAATTGCTAACATAGAGGATATTGCTGTATAACCAGGCATAATCATAGCCAGAGGAGAAAGCTGCAAATAGTTCCTAGTCCTGACTGACACGCACCGGAGACTGAGCTGGTGACCTGGTTTCTCTTCCAGGATATTCACAGCCCACTCCCTATCATCACACCCACCGACCCCATTGACAGAGAAGTTGAGTTTCTCCCATCCAGAGCTCCCTATGACCCTCGGTGGATGCTTGCAGGAAGGCCTCATCCGAGTAAGTCCTCCAGTATTTTGCTGGGGTTGGGGGAGTTGGGTTGCTTTCCTAGGTCTAAGATAAAGGGCTGCTTAGAAAGATGTATTGTTTTTTGGCCCCGAAGGGTACACCTGAGCCTAAATGCAGAGGGAGAGAAGGGATGGAGATTTTACTCTTCCCTTCCTGGGCCATTGACTATAACCAAGGTTGGGCACCACCTCCCTCCCTGAGCTTCCCTGTGGTCATGGAGGTGGGAAATGTGGTGCCAAAATGTTAAAGTTTCAAAGCAGACAGCCTCCTTCCAGCCCTCCTTCCTCCTCTGCTTCTGTTTGGCTGAACCGTTGCAAGGAGAACCTGTGAGTTTCCCAGGTTGGGCACCTTGGCCTCTTCCCGTACAATCGCGTGTGAGCACACACTTCTTCGCCCTCTGAGAGGTGCGTCTGTCTCCTGGAGATGTGTTACTACACCCCAGCACGCTGAGCAGGCAGGAAAGCTGAGTGCCCCGTCACCATATTCCATTGTAGAGTCGCATGTGCTGCTGCTGTAGGCATCAGCCAGCTCCTGCGGGAGACGTGACCCTCAGGATGGTGCCAGTCCCTGGCCAGCAAGGGTCTCCATGGCTTGCTTCTCCTCCTTCCCTTTTCTCTGGGGTTTTCCCCTCTGGATGCACTGAATGGGCGGCTCTATCTCAACTGAAAGATGTTGGGATTCTTACCAGCATCTTTTTCCATGGCGTTGGTCCAGCCATGAGGCTGGTGCTAGAGTGGCCGATTCATCCCAGCCCCTCACACCTGTAGCTTGAGACACTGCCTGCTGCCTCCTGTCTTTCCTTGTCATAACCACGGCTGTTCACGCCAGGCTGTGGGTTTAGGTTACCGTGGCCCCTCCAGCCACAGCTGTGGTTGGCACCCTCATATTACATCTCTGGGAAGCTGAAGCCTTTCTTCCCAGTTCTCGGGCTCTGCAGCCAGCAGGCCTAGGATGAGGTCTCAGGGCAGGTGGTCCCTTCCTGAAGCCCCTCGTGGAAGGCAGCCACCGGCTCCCCAGCCTCTTGGGAAAGGTGGCAGGACTGTGATTCAGATCTCACTGTGTCTGGCTTTGACGGGGGCTGAAGGGACGTGAAGGCTCCATATGGACTGAATCTAACTCGATACAGTTTATGCAGCCATGTTTTTTGTTGGTTTTGTTTTGAGTGAGAGGTTGGGATCTGCACAGTTTTAGGGGGAAAAGGATATTGGGGCCATGAGGACTAAGTCAGGTTGTCCTTAGACAGATTCCTCAGCCTGGAGGGCGCTGGGGGTCTCATCCACCTCCCAACCTGGGCCTCTGCTTTCTGTCCACAGCACTGAAGGGAACCTGGCAGAGCGGATTCTTCGACCAAGGAAGTTTCAAGGAAATTATGGCACCCTGGGCCCCAACCGTGGTGGTAGGACGAGCGAGGTAACCCTGAAGTTGGGAGCAGGCCACACACGTCTGGCCTCTCTAGCACGGGGACTCTCAGGCACTAGGCCCTGGGGCTACGAGGGACGCTTTCTCTTTGGCCCCAGGATTTTGTGAAAGCAAAAACCAGTTTGGGGAGGTTTTCCGGATGATGAACAGCTTCCTGAAGTCTGGACTTGTCCAGCTGTGGCCTTAGGTGGCTTCTCAGCCAACCCCTGCGGGGCAGGGACCCTTGACCCCCAGTGTCCCTCCCTATCCCCTTGGAGACACAGAAGGTGGCCCTGGGTGCCTGCCCAGAAAACGGCAGGCACGGAGCACCGGGATCTCCATTTCAGAGGCCTTATCGTGCTCCACGGCTCATGGAAGGCTTAACTGCTTGATTACTTCCAGAGCTGAGGAGCTCACTCCAGCAGCATAGCCCTCTTTTTTTTCTAAGGCTTCTGCTGCTAAAGTTCATCCAGTACACTGAACCCAAAGCGGTTCCTGACAAATGACCATTTAGATTCCTGCCACAGTCCAAGCCCTGTAGTTAGACCTAAAGACCACCTCCGGTTCATCCTTCATTCTCTCTGGCCCTCTGTGTCCTGATCTGTAAAATGGGGGTAACAACTCTACCCCCAAAGGATCATTGCGTTGAGCCCCTAAGTTATTATTGAGTGCTCACTAAGTCGTGGTGCTGCTGCCATCATTATTTATGTCCAGAGTCATAAGTATTAAACTCTTAAACGTAGTCTTGGCACTAAGATGCTTCCTCCAGGTTTATTCTTAAAACTCTTTAAAGTAAGAACCTGAGATTCAGTCTTCCTCCTTCCAGCGGAAGCCCTGCCTTTGGGTATAGACAGCGCCTCCCACCCCGGCCTCACAGGATCATTACTCAGATAAACAGCAACATCCAATAGGGAGCTGGCTGCAGGATGTGGTGAAGGTTCCTGGGGTCACATCGTCCCCTGTGCTAAGTCTCCATCAGGCTCGGCGTCTCTCTGCCTCTCCACGCGTGACTTGTCTGTGTCTACGCCGTGCAGTGTGGGAGCTGCGGGACCCATGTGATGATGACAATGGAAATTTAGGGGGGGGGTGGCTCAGTGGCACCCATGTGCCCAGCCTGCATGAGGCCCCGGGCTCCATCCACCGCACTGGAGGAAAACAGTGTCGAGTGGACTTAACCTACCTGACTGCTCACACTTGCTGACTGTATCTCACTGTCAGTAGCTGTGTACGGCTGCGGCTACCATATCGGACGGTGCAGGCGGAGACCATGGCCTTCCACGTGGAAAGTCCTGGCAGAGCCAGCTGCTCCAGCCCCTGCACTGCCCAGTTCTTCCTCTGCAGGGGCATCAGTGCTCTGCCAGCTTGGGAGGCTCTGTCACTCAGGAGCTTTTCCTTTTCCTTCCAATAAAGTAACTCCCCTACACACCCTCAGCCCACACCCAGCCACACCTGCTACCTGGGCAGGACAGACTCCACTGTCCAGGATCCACCAGCGTGCCACCCAGCGCCCACCTCCTATGTGCTCATGTTCCAGGCTGGGAGGCATCCCTGTGGGTGTGATTGCCACAGAAACGCGGACCGTGGAGGTGGCGATCCCTGCCGACCCTGCCAACTTGGATTCTGAGGCCAAGGTGAGGGGCCGGGAGCCCTGGCTGCTGGTTTACCTGCTCTGCCAACAGGATAGGTCCTGGCGTGGTGGCTATCCCTTCTCCCATTTGGTCCCTTGGTGGAGAAGCAGTGGCTTTAGCAGGTCTTGGGGCCTGGCAGGCTGTGACTCTCCCTCTGGTTCCCCCTACTGGACAGATAATTTTCTGCACTGTCTCCTTCTTGAGGCGGGTGGAGAGGGGCGGGGTGATAAGGCCCACAACCCCTCTGCCTCCCACAATTCCCCTGCTGCTGTTTCTGTGACTGCCCAAAGCCCATCCTGGGAATTGTGGAGTGGTCGGGAGTGGGTCCTGGGGTTGGCTTTGCAGAGGCCCATTGTAGCCTTGCCTGGTGCTGCACCCCCTCAGGCTGAGTGTGGGGACACCGGGATCCACCCTGGGCTGCAGGGAGCGGGTTCCCCAAGGTCCTGAGAATGAGCTTCCGGCCCTCGTTTGGAGCCTGGCTCTGGTGTCGGTGTCAGAATGGCTCTCGTGGCCTGGCCTCTAAGGCAAGGCCGTGGCACTGTTCCTGTGTCTGGGGCTGCCATCTGATCCAGGTGGCTCTGTGTTGCAGATAATCCAGCAGGCAGGCCAGGTGTGGTTCCCTGACTCAGCCTACAAGACAGCCCAGGCCATCAAGGACTTCAACCGGGAGAAGCTGCCCCTGATGATCTTTGCCAACTGGAGGGGATTCTCTGGGGGCATGAAAGGTGAGGCCAGTGCCGCCTGGGCCCCTCTGCGGGGTAATGCCAGTTTCTGGCTCGCTCCCATCGTCACAGTGTTAGGCCTCTCAGCAGCCCTGACGAGAGGAGGCCCACAAATGAGGGACAGGGCCGGAGGCAGTGTGACTTCTGGGGGGTCACACTGGGAAGCACGTCAGGGTTTTGATCTCAGAAGCTCCCCAGGGACCTGGGCAGTCACCTTCCTCATGACAAGCTGAGGGGGACAGGTGCCCGACTGCCTCCCTTGGGGCTGATGGACCCTCAGGTGACCTCAGAATGGTGCAGGGCTGTCTTAGCCACCACCGAGCATATTGGGAGCGACAGTGGCTCTCCGTGAGCACCGAGAAAAGGGCTGGTGTGGGAGGCAGGCAGATCTGCTGTGCATCTTTGCTGGATGGTTACCTCTCTGAGTTGCAGTTCCTGTCCTTTGTGAAAGAGAGTAAGAATAAGACCAAGCTCAGAGAGTGCGGTGAGGATCCAGGGTGCTGAGCCCTGGCACATGGTGCCCTTAATGTGGATGAGGTCACTGCATTGCGGTCACCACGTGGGGCCCAGGCACTTGGAGGGTGTGTCTTGGTGGGAGGTGAGGGCCATGGCGCCCTGGGCCAGGGAAAAGGGCCTGTGTTCTGGTTGGGGAGGGGTCTGTGTGCTGGAAATACGAGGCAGGGCAGGGACAGTCATGGGGGAGGCTGCTCAGTCCAGGATGGAGAGTATCTTAGGCATGGGTCACTCCCTGTGCCTCTCTTTACAGGTGAGTGACCTGTCTAAGGTCCCACGGCCATTTAGGGAGCAATCTGCACCTGAACCAGTCCGCAGTGCTCTTCAAACCTCCCAGCCAAACATGCTCTCTCAGGACCCCAGGACAACTGTGCCTGTGGCTTTGGGTGTGGACCAGTGGGGGCTTCGAGTCCCCTCACCAGGTGCTGCCTTGCTTTGCAGACATGTATGACCAAGTGCTGAAATTTGGATCCTACATTGTGGATGGCCTCCGGCAGTACAAACAGCCCATCCTGATCTACCTCCCGCCCTATGCAGAGCTCCGCGGGGGCTCCTGGGTGGTCCTGGACACCACCATCAACCCCCTGTGCATAGAGATGTATGCGGACAGAGAGAGCAAGTGAGTGCATTGCTGTCCCATCACTTGCAAGCCATTGGCTGGGGACCTCAGGAGCTGTCACTGCTTCCTGAAAACAAGAGCCTCCTCTGTGATTGGATTTTCGCAGCAGAGTTAGGGACTGGTGCCAGGAAGTGGAGGAGGAATTTTACCTTTTTTCCTAACTTATACTCACCTCCTTCCCAAAACATTTGCAAGAGAAAAGATCAGCTAGGCACAGTGGTGCACGCCCAGTACTGGGAAGAGAGGATCATGAATTTGAAACAGCCTGGGCAGGGTAGCAAGACCCTGCGTCAACACTCCTACCCCCAAAGTTACTCACCTGTAGTGGGGAACTCGTGTGTTCCCAGCAACTTGGGAGGCTGCAGTTGGAGGGTCCCAAGTTCGAGACCAAGCTGGGCAATTTAGTAAGACCCTGTCTGAGAATTAAAAGATGAGAAGTACTGGTCATACAGCCCAGTGTTGCCTGGGTTCAGGCTCTAGGATCCCATCCACAAACAAAACATTGCCATTTAAAAAATAAATAAGGATCAGCCAGGCATGAGGATCTTGAGTTCAAGGTCAGCCTGGACAACTTAGTGAGACCCAACCTCCAAATGAAAAATAAAAGGGATTGAGGATGTAGCTCAGATAGCACACTTGTCTCCCCGTCATGTTTCCCCCCAATAAAAGCTAACCAGAAAGAAACGCTGGTCATAACCACCGTGATGGCCAGTGTCACACAGAAGATCACACCTATTCTCTTGCTTGGTGGCTTCTCTGTAAGGCAGGTAAGGCAAGGTGATCGGGGCTGACATTTTTGATCTCTAGTTTTCAAGGCCGATTAGGTTTTATTTTCAGGGAAACACAGTGGCATGATGAACCACCCCCGGGCTCAATCCCCAGTCCTGCCAAAAAAGGAGTGGGCAGGGAGACCAAAAGCACCTGCGCTCTCTGCAGTACGTCAGGCGCAAGCTACTCTACCCAGTCCCTGAATCTTGTTTTATAGCCCATGGTCCGGCTCGGTACCTGAGAATTGGGCAGGAAATACCAGCTGAACACAGGGTAGAATGAATACCTTAATACAGAGGGGATTAAAGACGGAAGACCACAAATAATTTGGAAGAGGGGCCAGGGGGCTCTTGCCTCTAGTAGACAAAAAGCCCCAACCTGGCAGTGCTCCTCACTTTTATTGAACCTAGAAAAGGGAGCAAGCAATCCTGTGAAGTCGGGTTCAATTGGCAGAGTGTTCCCAGACACATGCTCTGCTCACTTAGACCTCAGCTCCTTTCTCCGGGACTTGCAGCTGCCAGCTTTTGGGCACACTGCCAAGGGAGGCGCAGCGTGCCTTCCTTCCCCGCGGCCCCCAGAGGAATGTCAGCAAGGCCTCGATCTTCCCACCGCAGCCTTCTGAGCGCCCACCCCTTAATTTGATTTAACACCTTCCTAAATCCAAAATCTAACCCTAACCCGTAACCTGGGCCCTCACCCTAACACTGGTTCTGCATGGACGCAAAACCTCAGCACTCTCTCTGGGAGGAGGTGGCCCAGCAGTGCCCGCGGTGTAGTGGCTGGCACTTTCCCAGGGAACCTGTGCTGGGCTGGGAGTGGTTCTGCCCGAAACACCACCCCTGTGTTCACACTGTCCGTCCCCTAATTCAGGGAACACTTACCGGGTGCTGTGTGCCATCTTTGTTGGGTGCTGCGGCGTGGAAGCAAGTGAGCCAGGCCCGTCCTGCCTTCATGGCGCTGACCCTCATGGGGGCTCTGAGTTCAGTCCTCAGGGAGGCTGAGGATCCTGAGCAGCTCCTCTAAGGTCACAATTCACTTTCCTCTCTGGCCACTGGGAAGCTTGGAGCAGTCTGTCTTATTCCTTGAGGCTTCCAAACTGTCATAAGAATGATGGGGCAAGGGAGACTGAGAGGTAGTCCGAAGGTTGGAATAGGAGGGCCACTCAGACGGAGCCACGCTGGGCTCTCCTTGTGCCCTGCCAGCTTTTAAGAACTCAGAAACGAGTTCCTGACTCTAAGAACAGAAATTAGGAAAATCTGAAAGATCTGTGTCCAGGGAGCAGAGGAGTTAGGTGATCACGGAGAAAAGCAATGCTTTTAAAGCTCAAAGTGGGGGAGTAGAGGGGATTTAGAGTCCGGAAAGCATTGTTTTTTTCAAAGTTAGCTCATTCTTCCCTTCTGTGGGTGTAGAAGCTACTGCCCGGGGGGAAGTGGCTGTCGGTGTCGCCCAGCGACTGTGCCAGGGCCAGGGCGACAACAGCGCTGCACTATGCCCCAGTCAGTCCCGGCTCTTCTCCTCTCAGGGGCGGGGTTCTGGAGCCCGAGGGAACGGTGGAGATTAAGTTCCGAAAGAAAGAGCTGGTGAAGACCATGAGGAGGATTGACCCGATCTCCAGGCAGCTCGCAGAGCGGCTGGGTAAGGGGCCCCCGGGCCCTCGCCTCACCGGGCATTATTTAGCACGTTCAAAATAAGCCAGAGACTCTGAACACAGCGGCAATCGCTGTGAGATTTTGTTTTTGTTTTTTGAGACAACTTCTCACTTTGTAGTTGAGACTGACCTGTAACTCACTAGCCCAGACGGGTCTCGAACTTACAGCGATCCTCCTGCCTCAGCTCTTGAGTGATGGTATTACAGGCGTGTGCCACCATGCCCAGCTGCTGTGAGACTTTTAAGATATTCACATTTCCAACAAACAAAATCCTTTTAACAGTAAAGAGCACGTATGAACAAGTCGAGTATCCCTTGTTTGAAAATGAAGTGCTTCAGATCTCAATGAGACGTCTGGGGGAGGGGACCCATGAAATTCTTAGTTTTCTTTTGGTACTTGGGATCCAATTTGGGACCTTGCACATGAGAGGCAGGCGGCGGCACCACTGAGCTAAATCCCTGGCCCTCTCTGTGATTTCTTTGGTTTGGTATCAGCAAAAAGCTGACCTCAGTAATTTGGGAGGTCTACTCTATTTTCTGCTTTTGTGTAGAAAATTCTTCTTTAAATTTTCTTTAAATTTTTGATGAGAGCTTTCTAACCACAGCTCACCACCTTTATTATATATAGGACTATTGCCATGATCTGTTTCCTCTGGGTGGTGTATGTTTCAAGGAATCAGTTGCATCTAAGTTATCAAATTGGCCAGTTGTTATAATACCCTTACTGTATCTTGTAATATTTGTTAAAATAATAGCCAGTAGTTGGTTATGAAGCACAAGGGGCCCGATGGAAACTGCCGCTAGAATGCAGACTTGCAGTTGTGAATCCATATCTGAGACAGCACCCGCAAGCTGCTTTGGGTGATCTCGTGGGGCAAGGCTTGTCCTGAAAACAGTTTTGTGCCCTCTCAAAGAGAAAGCCTCCACCCCAGCGGCTGGTGACTGTCTTCCCCAGTCTCCTCAGCTGTCCTGACCGGCCTGTCTGCCCCACCTCGCCCCCCCAGGGACGTCCCAGCTGTCTGACAAAGATCGCAAGGACCTGGAGGGCCAGCTGAAGGCTCGCGAGGAGCTGCTCCTCCCCATCTACCACCAGGTGGCAGTGCAGTTCGCGGAACTGCATGACACGCCAGGCCGGATGCTGGAGAAGGGCACCATCTGTGTAAGGGCGCGTGGGGTGTGAAGGACCCATCCCAAGGTCACCGGCTCCCACACACCGAGGAGACTGGGGCTCCAGGGTTTAGAATTGGCCGACTTAAAGATCACTTGTGGAGCTTTTAAAAAACTCTCAATGCCCGGGTGGCTCACCAGTCACCTGAATATGAAACCTGAATATTGGGGGGTATTTCTTTACATCCCCAAGCGATCTCCTAGGCCGTAAAGTTGGGAAACCACTTGCCTGTTGTGTTGACAACCACCGAAGGTTGGAGGCCTTGTTCCCGCAGCCTTCCTCCGCCTCCCCGGGATCGACCCTGCCCCTGTGCGCTGTTGTCACATCCCTCGTCTCAGTGCTGTCCTTGGCAGTTGGCTTCGGCCCCGCATGACCTGCATGGTGTCTGCAGGGGTGGAGGAGGTGCCAGATGTGGACGGGCAGGGGGCTCCAGCAGGCTGTGGTGGTGGCAGAGTGCGGCGCCGCCCCTTGCTGCCCCTGGCCGAGCTCGCCTTCCTGGTCTGTGCGAGGGGCTGAGCCCGGCCCCGTCCACATGGCCCTGCCTCGGGTCTCAGGCCTGGCTTCCGTGCCCGCAGGATGTGCTGGAGTGGAGGACGGCACGCACCTTCCTGTACTGGCGTCTGCGCCGGCTCGTTCTGGAGGATCAGGTCAAGCAGGAGATCCTCCGGGCCAGCGGTGAGCTGAGCCATGAGCACTTGCAGTCCATGCTGCGCCGCTGGTTCGTGGAGTCTGAGGGTGCCGTCAAGGTGGGCCTGGGGCACGGGGGAGGGGCTCCTTGGCCTGTCCTGCAGCAGAGCCCCTGTCTGAGCTGCCTGTGCCCCTCCCAGGCCTACCTGTGGGACAATAACCAGGTGGTGGTGCAGTGGCTGGAGGAGCAATGGCAGGAGGGTGACAGCCCGCATTCGGCCATTTGGGAGAATATCAAGTACCTGAAGCGAGATGCTGTCCTCAAGACCATCTGCAAGTGAGTGTCCCGCCCTGTCTGTGACTCCCTGGCATGTACCCAGGCTGGACTGTTCTCTAGCTGTCACACCCTGGAGCAGCCCTTCGAGTCCCACACCAGTCATGGTGCCCTGGCCCAGCCCTCTGTCCTGGAAGCCCCAGGGATGAGAGTGCACCCCACCCCACCCCAGCCCACCAGCCCTGCCCCATCTCCCACACAGAGGCCCGGGTTGAGGCGAGAGCCCCGAGCCGCCACAGGGAGGTGGGAGATGCTCCAGCTCAGGGTCCTTGCGGGATTCTATGTGCTGACATGTCTCAGGTCTCAGCTGGAGCCTGCATGGTTAGAGAACCCACATCCCATCCCCTAGGCAACCTTTCCAGAGAGATGCCCCGGCCTTGTCGTGGGGTCCCCTGCAGGGCAGCCACGGGGCACATGGGACCCTGTCTGGGGCATGAAGCTGAGGTTCAGACAACTCGGCACAACACATAGACAGTGACGGCAAGGGTGGTGCTACTGAGAAGCATTCTGACCCCCTAGAAGTAGCCTGTCCTGCTTCACGGGATTGTCTTTCTCTTGGTGACCTCGGAGGAAGGGAATCTGTTCAGGGTTCTAGCCCAGGAAGAGGATAAGGACTCTGTCACCTAGTGGCCACCAGGCTAAGTGGCAGGAATAACTCCAGCATTGTCTTCGTCCCCCACAGTCTGGTCCAGGAAAAGCCCGAGGTGGCCATGGACTGCGTGGTGTACCTAAGTCAGCTCATCAGCCCAGCCGAGCGGGCCCAGGTGGCTCAGCTGCTGTCCGCCATGGACAGCCCGGCCTCCACCTGAGCTGCATCCAGCCATTCCCAGGGCCATGGGCAACAGAAGCTGCACAACCTGCTGACCCACTGCAGGCCCCCACCTGGATCTTGGGACTTGTTTACAACAACAACAACAGCAACAAGACACCAGTCCCAGGCACTTCTGTGGGCGGAGCTACTGGTCCCCAGCCAACTCCTGTGTCAATAAAAGGCTCAGGGTGCCCCTCCCAAGCAGGAGTCACCTCCCTGCCACTCTGGGAAGTTCATTTTGTCTCTTCAGACAGTGTTTTTGCTGTACCACTGAATCAGATTGAACCAAACCATCCAGATTTCCTTGTGCTTTTCGGTGCCTAGAGTGCGGAGTCCAGGTGGTTGTTAGCTGGTTTTATATCACATCTTAGAATCTTTTATTTTTATTTTTTTACTCCAGGGGCTGCCCTTGTTATAAGGGCGTTGTCTACTTCGGCAGAATGAATGGAAAAAGCCTAGATCAGACTAGAGAAAAACTAATTTTGTATGAGGCTAACCTGAATGCTAGCTAATCACCCAGGAAAGGGTACACACTGTTTTTAAGAGAATAAACTGGTAGCTTGTGCCCCAAATGACCCTCGTGAGTCATGAGGAATGTCTCATTGTTGGGCTGTGCCTGTCACTCACTAACAAATTCCCCATTGTGGAGAGAGAGGAAGCACGATGAAGAGATGCCACAGAGCAGGGGCGTCCCCAGGAGTCTCTCACGTGGCTCCCAGAGCTCAGCTCACCCCTGCCCTCCAGTGAGAGCGAGGGTCAGTCCCCTGTCCCACCCAGTCAGGCAGCCGGTGCTGCCCACATGAGCTGAGGGTGCAGAGGCGGAGAGGAAGCCTTCCCAGACTCGGCCCAGCGGTGGACACCGCCATCCCCTTGGGGGGCCTCCGGCGTCACTCACTTCCTCGCCTTTCCCCGTGGTGGAGCCAGCATCAAGGGTGGAGCCGTGGTGACCAGGACTGGACCGAGAAGGCCACACCGATGTGCTCAGGGAGGACTTTGACATATGCCCCAAGCACTTCGTGATATGCGGCATCCGGGGTCACCCACTGCTGTGGCGGGCAGTTTGTCTGAGGACACTGACCGAGGGCACTCCAACAAGGCTGCCCAGGGAAGCCTCCGCCAGCCAGAATGCTTGAGGACGTTCAAGTTCAACCATGAAAACATTCTGGCCATCCGCCCGTGACAGCTCTGGCCAGCGACAGTGGGGAGAGAGAAAGCTGACTTCTCCCACGTCCGGCCCAGAGGGGCGGGTGGATGGAGACTAATGCTGCTTCAGGAGTGGAGGGTTCCTTTCGGGAAGACCCTCTTGCCTTTGGAGGAAAAACCAGGCAATAGCTGCTGCCCCGGAACGGTGGGCATAGAGCCTGCCTGGAAACGTGCAGAATAAACTGTTTTTGAAGGAAGCTCATTGTGGACTGCACAGTGCTGTAGTAGAGACCCTGAAAAAAGTTCGTGTCCCAGGAGCAGCTGGGAGGCAGCGGAGGGAAGCTGAGGGCTGGGTTGGGGAGCTCAAAGGCATCCTGTTTCCTAAGCGTTGGAAGGCTTTGTTTAAAAAAACAAAAAAATTATATGGAGCCCCATCCGTGTGCCCGGCAAAAAGGGAGCTGCTCTGGAAGAAGGCTGGGTGGGCGGGGCCGGGCGGTTTTCATAGCAGGTTCACTCCTTCCCACCACCCTCAGCGCCCTTTCTTTGACGAGGGTGGCAAAATTTAGAGAGGTGAAGACGCTTGTCCATTGTCACAGGCAACCGGACGGAGGGAAATTAAGTCTTTGACCTCAGAGCCGGCCCGTTCCTTTCATGACTCAGACTCTGAGCATTCGTACCACACAAGGGAGCCTCCCAGTTTTGCAAGCCCCGTGGGCTTGTCCACGCCGAGAGTGGGAGCCACGAGCCCTGGCTGGCTTCCTCCCGACTTCTAGCTCTTTCTCACCCCACCTCCCCCTTTTCGCTCTTCTTCGGTTCCCACATTCTCTTGGCTTTTCTCCTCCGTGTCCTTCGCCCTAACATTGTATTTTGAAAATTTCCAAACACGAAAAAGTTGAAGTACTGGATGGCAGATGCTCGCCCTCAGCCACCAGCTCGATGCCATCTCTCTGTGCGTGGACTTAGTGTCCCACCTGCCTGCTCATCTCTCCATCTCTGCCTGTAGCTGTGACGTTATCTCATTATTTTGTGACATTTCACAGCAAATTGCAGGCATGGATCCACTTCTCCAGGTTTTTTGGGTTTTTTCTTTTATACAAAGTTTAGAAAAACATTGTCCTGGGGTCTTCATGTTATTGTCCCCTTCCCCTCCTCATATCAGCCACATCCCAGACCTGAGTGATGCCATTTGTCCCCTCATGAACTCAAAGCGACGGGTGGGTGGAGGCGCAGGACCTGTTGCACCATGTGCAGTTGAAATTGTTCCATGTCCCCTCTTCACCTTGTGGGCATCCAACCTCCCGGGGTGTGGTGGTTCAAGCCCCTCTCCTGTTCAATAACCTGCTGTAACTCCCCTATGCCCTTGTTGCTCTGCTTGGCCCTGGGAAGGAGTGGAGGTAATGCCCTGACAACAGGTTGCTCAAGATGTTGAGTGATTGTAAAAATCTTGTTTTGGGGCCACCAACATGGTACAAAACAGAAATGGACAATTTGGCAAAGAATTAGAGTCCATGAATTAAAGTACCAAACAGAAAACCAGGAGATTACAAATTTTACGGAAAGCATGGGAAACAAGAGATCAATGGGGAGACACAGGGCTGATGCTGGTGACCGTATCTTCACAGATACCTTAAAAATGAGGGAATATGAAAATGGATCCAACAGCTGATAGGAACTAGTGACAAATCAGAAGACAGCACAAATGGCATAAAAAACCTGTCCACAGATATAATAACAGAAAACTTTCCAAATATGGGGAGAGAATTTAACATATAGATAAGTGAGGGCTATAGAACTCTAAATAGCCACACCCAGAAAAGAACTTCTCCATGACACATCATATTCAAAATCCCAGAAGTCCAGCACAATGACAGTACCTCAAAAGTAGTTAGAGAAAAGCATCAACTTGTTTATATGGGTAAACCCATAAGAATTACAGTGGATTTTGCAACACAAATTTAAGAGCCAGGAGAGTTTAGAGTGCAGTGTTTCAAGCTCTAAAAGAAAACAACTTACCATTCAGACTAATATATTCTGCAAAATTATCTTTCAAAATAGATGGAGGAATCAGATGTTTCCATGACAAAGAGCACCTTAAGAATCTAAACCAGCACTCCAAAAAATTCTCAAGGCTATCCCAGAAAGAGACAAGGAAGTCAGCAATTCCCAAAAATCTTACAGAATGAACACACTGGGCAGGGTAAGCAGTTAAACGGAACAAATGATTTTACTAGATGGCTACAGTGTTGTACCTTATTACAACAGACTACACATTCTCCATAGTACATGGAACGTTCTCTAAGATATAACATAATACTACTCCACAAAGCCTGCTTAAATAAATACAAATGAATCAAAACCACCCATATTTACTGTCAGTTCATTGTATGTGCAAATTAAGAACTGAAGAAATCACAAAAAACGTATAAACACCTGGAAACTTAATAGCACATTGCTGAACACTCAGTGGGTCACAGAATAAATGGAGGAAGAAGTTAAACAGTTTCTGGAATCAAATAACAATGTCAGTACACAGCAGAACCTATGGGACACAATAAAAGCAATCCTAAGAGGGATTATTACAATCAGTGTTCACATTAGAAAAACAGAATGAGTTCATAGAAATAACCTAGTGATGAGTCTCAAGATACTAAAAAACAAAACAAAACAACAATCCAAACCCAATTAAATTTAAGGAGGCAACTTGTGAAGATCAGAGTAGAAATTAATTAAAGTGAGACTTTAAAAAATGCAAAGATTCAATGAATCGAAGGGATGGTTCTTCAAAAAAAGTAAACAAAATAGGCAAAATCTTAGCCAAACTTACCAAAAGAAATAAAGACTCAGGTCAGTGCAATTAGAGATAAAAAAGCTGAGGTCCAAATGGACACCATCATAATAGAGAAGATACTAGTTACTGTGAAAAACTGCCAAATATTGGCAAATCTTGAAGAAATGGATGGATTCCTAGACTCATATGTATTTACAAAACTAAGTCAGAAGACATTAAAATCCTGAATAATAAAAAAAATCTGAATAATCCAATAACAAGCAATGAAATCAAGGGAGCAATGAAAAACCCACAAACTTTAAAAAACAAAAACCAAAACCCAGGATTTGGTGGATTCGTTGCTGAATCCCACAAGACTTTTAAGGATGTTTAATACCAATACTCCTTAAGTGCTTCGATAATATTGAAATGGAATGAGTGTTTCCAAACTCATCTGTGGAAACCAGAATCACTCTGATGCCCAAACCAGACAAAGCCTCATCTAAAAAAGAAAATTGCAGGCCAGTCTCCTTAGAACATAGATGCAAACTCCTCAAAAGATATTGACAAATGGAGTGCAAAAAACCATCACAAGTATCATAGGTCATGACAAAAGAAGTTTCATCCCAGGATTGTAAGATATGCAAATCAATAAGTGTAATGCACCACATAAACAGAATCTATGACAAAAACCAGTAATCATACCAACAGATGCAGAAAAACTTTTGGCAAAACCCAGCACTCATTCATGATATAACAAACTAAAGAAAATAGGCATAATGGACATTACCTGCATCTGATATAAGTCATGTATGACAAACCAACAGCCACCATCATTTAAATGGGAAGAAACTGAAAGCTTTCCCTCTACAGTCAGAAGAAGGCAAAGATATTGGTGATATTTTCCCACTTGACAGCAACTTTAGTCATTTCTTTAATCCTGATAGTACATTCTTCTTTAATATGAACATGTGATTCAGCTAACATTATATTACATTAAAGCTAACATATTAATTTCATAAGTTATTTTGGGGACTTTTTCATCATTTGTGAGTATGGGTGGATTGTCTGATCTACATTATACATTTACAGCTTTGCTTACAACGCTGAACTGGATTATTCAATATGATACCATTTCCATTTCTTTCTCATACCAAAAGCCATGGGCGCATGCATTCCACTGACAAAATTTGAGTTTTGTTTACTTCTGTTTGCTTATCTGTGGTGCTGAAAAATTTTAGAACTCATAGAAAGAAGTTTTATAAAAGCTGATCATCAAGCTATTAAGGGGTTTCGGAGTATGAGGAACGAGCTGCCCCAGTGCTCAGACAGAATCATCACCATTACATTTTCTTCATTAAAATGTAATTATTTGATCTTAATGTTTTCCTTTTTTTTTTTTAACTTCTTTTTTTTGGTACCAGGGATTGAACTTGGGTCTATTGTACTTGCAAGGCAGGCCACCGAACCGCTGAGCTAAATCCCCGGCCCTAATGTTTTCCTTATTGATCACATATTAAACGAATTAACTGCTTTTGCACCCCTTTTCTTTAAAAAGAGCTAATTTTGTTCCTCTTCCTAATGACTCCTTGAGGGTAAGGTGACTCAGGGAGTTGCCCCTTGAGCAAAAGAACTGAGGAGGGGCAGGTGTCAGGGACTAGGCAAGGTTAACCCCAGTGGCTGGATAAACTAGTAAGGAATTTATGAAACCGCCGTGCTTTCAATTATCTGATAAGTGGCATGTAATCTAACTTATTTCTCACACCTGAATAGGCCCACACATTCAATGATTCCTTCTACACAGTTTTTGAAACTCAATCTGGAACAAACTGTGATTTCTTTGACCTGGAAACAGTGACTCAGGAATGGTGGAAATGGGCAGGGTTGGTATTTCAGATCAAGAATGGAACCTTCTTCCAGCATCAGCATGTCAGCTCTGTCCCACTTACCCCCACATTGTTCAGGATTGATGAAAATATTTGGGAGCAGGAGAGATTCCTTTCCTCATCTAACTTGTTCCCATAGAATAGGGATGGACTGGTGGGGATTCATTTACGATATGAACTGTGCACGCTCAGATGACACACTTGGACAGGTGAAAACAGACTCGTTTGGCTAGCAGTATAGCCGTGCCGTACAGAGTGGCCTGGGCTCATTCTGAAAATGCTGAGCTGACCTGTTGCCATGGTAATGATGATGGACACCTTGCCTTCCATTTCAACTGTCACTCCGAGCTGAGAGCCGTTATTCCATTACCACATGCTGGTGACAGTCCCCGGAGATGGGAAACTGCTGTACAGGTATGTTCAGATCCATCTTCTGAGTGCCTTCCTCATGTGGAACAGTTTGCTTTGACTCAACTTATGCTCCTCAAGTTTTAATTTTCTCTGCTTCAGTTTCTCTCCTGATTTTTAGAAAGTATTTTACAGCTGACTGTCGCTACTCGATGCATAGTTTTGATTCTTCTATCAAGATAGTGGACTTAAATATCGTACCATTATCTGGGGGAATTTATATTCTCTAATGCAGGTTTTGTACACACTGTTAGAGAATAGATGTGGGGAGCTGGCCCGGGCTGCTGCCCTCAGGCCCAAGATTCTTGGCACTAAATATGGCAGCAGGCATTTTACCAGAGGCAAATTCCAAAGCTGTCCATCTGTCCGTGCCGTGTGAGGGCTTCTGGGAGAGTAGTGACAGGGACAGTGTCATCGGGTCAGTGGAGTGGACACTTGGTGATGAAGGCAATGAGGGTGACCCTCAGTGAGAGTCCTGGGGGTTGCAGGCCTGGCCGTGGTCAGAACCCCTTAGGCAGACTGGCCGGAAGGATGTAGGAGGTGCTGAGGGCCAGCTAGGTGAGGAAGGTTATGGGCAGACAGGTGCTAGAAAGCAGGGCTCCCTGTTCCCTTGAGAGAGGCCACTTCCTCGGCTCAGAAACCAGGTCATCCGTCTTCCAGGGGAGAATTTGGGGCAGGAATATTCAGGAAAGAGAGGAGGAAGAGCTCTGGATTTAGGCTTCCAGGGTACAATCTGGAGGCCTCAGGCGCTCAGGGAGCCATGCCCCACTGGGAATCAGGGTCTTCCCCTCCCGGATCCATCCTCTCTGCTGTGACCCTGGAAACTGGCCCTGACCTTGCTCCTCACTGGCCAGGACCACACCGGGCCCTGTGCCACCTAGGCCTCACAGATGGTGGTGGACGCAGGGTGATCTGGGCCACGAGCTCAAGTACCTTCAGATCCACCTACATTTTTTACAAATGACCAGTGTGTCCTTACCATAAAGAATCACAAATGTTTAAGGTACTTACTATCCCATCATTAACTCGGTACCTACATGTACCGAAACATCGCACTGTACCCCAAAATGTGGACAATTTTTGTGTCAATTAAAAAGTTGAGGTGTGGATAATTATTTCTGATTAACCTAAGGTCTTTGTGCCAGTGCGATGTTAACAGCTGTCTCTATTGTAATACATTTCCCAGGCTCTTGCCTCCTGGATGCAGAAATCGTTCTTTCAAGGTCAAGACGATCTATTGCCTGCTCCACCCAGTGCTACAGAAGGGCCCCCCTGTGGCTGTTGGAGAGTGAAGACCGCGGAGAGGTTGATGATGGAGGTGCTGTGCAAATTCAGTCATTAAGTGCATTCCTGAGCCTGGTCCTGGTTTACTAGTGTCCCATGTTGCAGAGAAAACTCTAAAGCTGTATTCGTTTATTAGATGTGTGCAGATTTAAATTTCGTTAACTCAGTCAGTAGCCCTGCAACTCCAGAAGTGAAGATCAATTTACAGCTAAAGTTCTGAGCGAGTAAACATCTCACTTGGATGTTTAGACCTTTACCTGATTCTCAGCCATTAGCTGAAATACAGCTCTTTCTGCATTAATATTGTCAGATTTTTTTTAAAAAATCAAAACCTTCTTTTGAAAAATTTTAGATGA